CAGCTACTTGGAGGCTGAGGCGGAAGGATCGCCGGAGCCCAGCAGGTCGAGGCTGCGGTGGCCGGGAGTGGCCACTGCACTCCAGTCTGGGCGACAGAGTGAGACTCCAACGCAAGTAAATAAATAAATAAATAATTAACATGTTTTTTATTTTAAAATTGTGGGGTACAGTTAAGAGTTAGGTATACAAATATGCATCGTTCAGGCACCCTTGTTGATAAGGGGTGCCCCCCCACCCCCTGATAGATATTGACTACCATTAATCCCACCACCCTTGCCCTCTCTGCTCCCCCCACAGATTCCCACAGCAACAAAAACAGGAAAATTAGGAATGCTTTCCCTCCCTTCCCTTGAATCGGCCACTGATACTAAGCAATTGTTCTGGGCTATCTGTAAACATGGGGAAGTAGATGAAACAGCAAGCACGAGCATACGGCAAACCTGCGCAGGCCTTGAAGGCTCAGTGTCCAGTAAGGTGTGAGATTTTGCCCCCGAAGCAGGACCAGGCCTTGTCTGGTTGTAATCAGAAAGTTGCTGCAGTTGGAATCTGGTGCCTTCACCATCTGGAGTAGCTCAACACCGTCACTGAAATAAACAAGACCCCAGCAGTTAGTCTCCGGCTTGGATGAGATTCCTGAGCCATTTATGTTGGCTTTTCCTCTCGGCATACAGACATCTGTCCATGCCCTTGTATTCATGCCCCACCGTAATCTTATCAAGCAGGGTACTCTGTCACACCAATTGAATCTCATTTTCTTGACCCTTAGAAATAAAAGATCCCTAGAAAATTCCATACACGTTCAAAAGGAACTCACAGGAAAAGTGTTACAGTGTGATACCTCTCACACTGGATGCCCTGGGATAGGTAACAGAGCCAAGGATAGTGGCAGGGATGGCAGTGGAGGTCTGGACAGGACACCTGAGGTTGCTAATACTCTTGGGCAGCAGCTCATGGCATACACTCCACTGAATGAGCTTTGTCTCTGTACCACTGGGACCATTCTACCTAATACTTATCAAATTCACCAAAACAAATGATATTGCCCAAGAAAATGCTAGAAAATCATTTGAAACAACTTCTTTTTTTTGAGTTGGAGTCTCGTTCTGTTGCCCAGACTGGAGTGCAATGGCCGCTCCCAGCCACTGCAGCTTCGACCTGCTGGGCTTCGGCGATCCTTCCACCTCAGCCTTCCAAGTAGCTGGAACTATAGGCGCGCGCTACCACGCCTGGCTAATTTTTGATTTATTGTAGAGATGAGGTCTCGCCAAGTTGCCCAGGCGGGTCTTGAACCCGCGGACTCAGGCAATGCACTCACCTCAGCCTCCCAAAGGCACAGGATTACAGGCTGAGCTACCGAGCCCAGCTGAAACTTCTGGTAGAAAAGAACAAAAACCAGTATTACACAGGCTTGGAGTTAAGTGGGCAAAATCCATTGCATATAACAAACTGCATGCTTCTAGTTAAGAAGCAAGGCCAGGCATGGTGGTTCACACCAGTAATCCCAGCACTTTGGGAAGCCCAGGCAGGAGAACTGGTTGAGCCCAGGTGTTTGAGACCAGTCTAGGCAACATATCAAGACCACATCTCTACAAAAAAAAAAAAGTTAGCCAGAGGTGGTCCCAGCTACTTGGGAGGCTGAGGCAGAAGGATCACCTGATCCCAGGAGGTCAAGGCTACAGTGAGCTGTGATCGTGCCACTGCACTTTAGCCTGGGTAACAGAGTAAGACCCCAACTCAACAAAAAAGGAAAGGAAGGGAAGGGAAAGATAAAAAATAAGATTTCATGGACATTTCCCTTGACTTTGTCGAAATGATGCTTCAACTAAGAGAAAAGTACAAGAAAGAGTAGGTCAGATCCTTTGGCAGTTTTACACACAGTTAAATAAATCTATTTCCCTACCCTCTCCTACTCAGAACCCTTAACAAACAGTCTTTATTGCAACCTTCATGAGGACACGATCACCAATACATATATGTCAACACATTACATTACCAAGAGAAAAAAATTTCTTTCTGTGTTAACCAGATCAGGAGATGGTACATTAAGGTTAGCACTGCTCTGCCCCTCAAACCGCGGTCCTCATATTCGTCAGCCCAACCAAACTTAGAGAGATCGCACTGTGACCAAGGACAGATGTCTGCCCTACCTGTAAATGTCAATGAGCTCAGACAGGTTGATGGATCTTCGCTTCTCCCACTCTGGCTCTTCTATCTGCAGAGAAGGTGGTGAGCTGTCTCGATTTTGGGCCTGAACAAAAATGTCCCGCAGGGCGACAGCTTGTATGTTTCCTAGCACCACAGAAGAACCAACACTGAGAAGTTGCATTTCATAGAACTATCCCAGGGTGAGGATATGAGCACGAGACATAGATCAGAACCTGATCTGAAAGGTCAAATGGGGCCCACCCAGACTGGGGAATGCTTGGGGAAGTAATCATATGGGTTCTGGGCAAGGGTCTTCTCTTCAGAGAAGCCAGAGGGAAAAGTAGACTAACAATCTACAATACGTGGGGAGAGTAAGAGGCCTCTACGGGAGGAGGCATCAAAAGGGCTGGTATCAGCAGTTCCTGAGCATCTACCCTGTCTTACCCATGAAGCTAATCACATACTCCAGGGGGGAACCCTAGAGAAAACTAGCCTTGCTTCTTACCAAAGCCAAACAGGATGTAGACAGCCCCATTGGTGGTGATGTAAACCTGAGGGCCAATCAGATTCCCGACTCCCACAATGTTGTACTTCACAGGTCGACCCACTGGAATTCCTGTCCGGCCAGACACAAGCAGAAAGCACAGATCTGGCTGAGGAAGCGAGAAAGGGAGTGGAGTCAGTAGAAGCCCTACCATTTCCTAATCAAACAGCTTCTTCAGACAGCCATTGCTCCCTCATTAGTTACAGGTCCAGAAACACCTCCCCAAATTGGAAAGCACAAAGCCAAATCTGCTTCACTTTATTTCCCTGGAAGTAAAAAAGTGAAGCAAACATCCCATTCCCTTACTAGATACACGCAAAGGGCATCTTCATGGCACCCCAGACAATTTTTCAGAAGCACAATTGGCTGCTGCCTAAAGTCCCCTGAGGCACAGAATCCTAGCCTAGAGCTAAATATAGGCCAGTGAACCCCTGGGTCTTTAATCTCATGCTAGAAATCCCCAGTAATGTTTAGTCCCAAATAGAATCAACCCAGGCAGTGCTCTTCCCCTGGCCATTATCAACTTAACTCTTAAACAGAGATCAGAAAACTTTTTTTGTGATAGTACATGTTTTAGGCTTTGCCACCAGAAGGTCTCTGCAGCAACTACTCTATTCTGCTGTTCTAGTGTGAAAGCAGTCAATGTATAACACGTAAATAAGTGGGTGTGACTGTATTCCATTAAAACTTTATTTACAAAAACAAGCAATGGGCCAAATTTGGCCTGTAGGCCAAAGTTTGTCAGTATCATCTCTAGAGGATTTTCTTTTGGGGCTAGAGTCACTAGCTGGAAAACATGGGGATTGTATCAATATCTTGATTCAGTGAAGCTTTTGACAAAGTTTACCATCATGAATTCTATGGACAAGATAAAGAAATGTGGCTTGCAGTAAACCCAGAAAAAGGTATTTCTGGGGTCAATACTAACAACCCTAGAGGGAGGTTTTTAGTAGAATGCCATAGCACTCTGCTATTGCCCCATTCCTATGAAGCATTCTTACCAAAGACTTGAATGAACAGAATTCAGTGTATCACAAAACTGAGAGAGATAGCTAAGATGATGTATCTGCCAGAGGAAAGTAGTCTGTTAATAATTAACTAATAAAGTGGGGCTCGGTGGCTCAGCCTGTAATCCCACACTTTGGGAGGCCGAGGTGAATGAATTGCCTGAGCCCGTGGGTTCAAGACCCACCTGGGCAACTTGGCGAGACCTCATCTCTACAATAAATAAAAAAAATTAGCTAGGCGTGGTAGCACGCACCTGTAGCTGCAGTTACTTGGAAGGCTGAGGCGGAAGGATCGCCGGAGCCCAGCAGGCCGAGGCTGCAGTGGCCAGGAGCGGCCACTGCACTCCAGTCTGGGCGACAGAGTGAGATTCCAACTCAAAAAAAAAAAAAAATTGACTAATTACAAGATATAGGTGCTTTATAAACAAAAGGTGAATTATAAACAAAAAGTGAATCTTAGAAAGGTTATTGCAATCTTTGGCTGTAAAAACAGAAATGCAGTCAGATAGTGGCTCATGCCTGTAATCCCAGCACTTTGGGAGACCAAGGCAGGAGGACTGCTTGAGCCCAGAAGTTCAGGCCAGCCTAGGCAACTTAGTGAGACCGCGTCTCTACAAAAAAAAAATTGGCCCTGCACGGTGGTGTGCCTCTGTAGTCCCAGTTACTTGAGAGACTGAGATGGAAGGATTATCTGAGCCTAGGAGGTCAAGGCTAGGATGAGCCATGATCATGCCACTGCACTCCAGGCTGGGTGACAGAATGAGATGCCGATGCAAAAAACAAAAACAAAAACAACAACAACAACAAAACACAAATATAGAGTCTATGTCAAAAGAAATAACAATTTCCTTAGGTTGATATAACTGGTTATACTACAAATAAAATATTGTTTTCAGATATGGGTAACACATTTTAAAAGAGCTGAGATAAAGGAAAAGAAATAAGAAAAAGAAGGCTTTGAACTTCCTGTTGCATGAGGAACACTATAAGAAATTGGAATATTTAGCCTTGAGGGGAGCAGTCTTAGAGGGACCAGGCTAATGGCTGAAGGACTTTCCTATAGAAAGGAGATTAGACTCATTCAGACTAGCTCTATGGGACTGAAGCTGGAACAATGGATGGAAGCTATGAGAAAGCAGGTTTCTCATCAATAGGACAGAAGTTTCTAGAGCTGACCAAAAATGAAGTGGACTGCCTCACAAATTAGTGATATTTCTGCCGGCCTGAGTGTTCCAAGAGAGTAGGAGTGCCCAAATGTCTGTATTGCTGAATCGATCACAGCACAGAGTGAGAACGCTCACCATACGGCTCAAGTCCCCTTCCCACTAATGTTCTAGACCAGATCCATTCCTCTAATCCCAAACCAGATCCAGTTCTCTGACTTGTGTTTCCTAGCTAGTGAAGGGAGACCCTTCCAACTCAGGAGCTTTTAAAAGATTCTTCGGGTCTGAAGGTCCTGGTCTAAAGGTCAAAAGAGGTCAGTATAAAGATGAAATTGCGGCTCTATACCATCAACTCCTCAAGAAGCTCCCAGAATGCTTTTGCAGGCAGAACGGAGACGGTTCAATATCTGTACCCGACTGTGCAAATGACCAAATTCTGTGAGGAAGAATTCTATAAGTTGAGGTAAGGTAAGGTACACTGGGTGGAGACCGGGGGGGGGAAAAGGACACTGAATAAGAATCGGCAAGAAGCCAATTCCTCTAATGGAGACCTCCTACTATGGAGGCCCCATAGGGCATGAGCCATGGTTCCCACCAGCCACTATCAGCAGTGATAGTACAGATGTGGTAGTACAACAAAGACTTCCAAATTTGTTCAGCATATGTGAACTTGTCCAATGTCTTGCTGTGCCCCTGCTGACTGTAATTCCATGAAAAAGAAACTCCTCATTAATTTATCCTTAGGGACCTTCAGAGAAGGTCTCTGCTGGAGGTAATAACTGAAATTTTCCCTAGTCCCTAGTCTCTTTGTTCACAATTGCTGGGATAAAAAAGATTACATTAATAATTCCTGAATTCTTGGTCCAGGTCTACTTTGAGACCAACTGGCTAGCTGAAGAAAGCTAACAGAAAGTGCCCTTAAAACTAAGCAGGCTTCAGAAATTTAGCTCATTATCAATCTCCTTTGCTCTTTTCTAGCAAAGGTAAGGTACGGCCTGGTGCTTCCCAAAACCTGTGACTGGTGGAGCACTTTGAGTAGGGGTGCTCTTGGCCAAAAGCCACAAAGCATTAACAGATTTAATTCCATTCTACATCATTTTACCTGCAGAATGTACAACTCTACTCCATACATGCAAAGACCACAACAGCAAACCCAAGGTCTATTAAAATTTTAAGTTATCAAATGAGGCAAAATTATCAGCATCCACATTTTTCCACAAACATTCTTTGCCAATTGTTCAATTTTTTTGTGCACAAGCATTTCCTTGGCAGACTCACACTAGGAAGTCTGAAAAAAAGTCTTAGAGAAACTTTGACAAAAACCCTGAGAAAAGCTTCAGAATAATAACTTAAAATTGAGACAATGCTATTTTTGAATTTATTCCTCCCTGTGATCTGGGGAAAGACTACTCTTATTTTGTCTGTGTGCAGAGCAACTAGTTCTAGTGCACTGACGTTTTCAGAAGCATAATTGAGGGCTATCCTTCAAGGGCTACTGTCCTAGAATCAAAATCTGGCTTGTCACAGCCTGTATCACACAACTCTCCTTTCTTTGGTCATTAATTGTTATTTTTGCTTGACTTAAGATTTTATTTTTATACATATATATAAAATGAACTTTCTATCAGTCTGTTCTATTGTTTTATAACTGAAATAAAATGTACATAAATATCATATAGTAAAACTAGTAATACGCATACACAATAAACAATAGGCACTACTCGAGGCACCTTAAATATGTTAGCTCTAATTTTCGTAACAATCCCACAAGTAGATATAACATTCCCATTTTACATATGAAGAAACAGCTTGGATAGGCTTGCCCAAGGCCACAAAGCTACAAAGTGAGGAGGAGGAATTCACACGGAGACCTGTCTGGCTCCAAAGCTCCACTACACCCTAGTCCATGGAACCATAATGAGACAGCCAGGAAAAATGGGTTTGTAGTGGTCATTTATCCTCTTAATCTCACAAAGAGAATTTACTTAAACCTGTGGCAGTCCTTGTTTTAAAAAAAAGTGTCAAGCAATATTTATAACAACAACACTAGGAACTGAGATAACTAAAATTGAAGCAGTCGTATAATAAACAAAAATAATTCAACAGAGATCGTACCTGCAATTCCCCAATGGCCAGAACCACAAGATCTCTAACACCGTCTTCATCCAAGTCTGGCAGCACCACAACCGGGGCAACCAAGGTGCCGTTGGACAAGTAGTTTGGGTTTAAGGTCCAGATGGCTTTCCCTAGGATAGGACACATAGGCTGATCACTGTAACAGCTTTCTGCCCCTGGAAAAGGCAGCTGTCATGTTCCCAAAAGAGAGAAACTCAATAGAAAAGAGAAAAGACAACAGACAGTAATTCCTATTTACTTTTTTCCTTTCATTTTCATCTTATTAAGGAGAAAGAAAACAGTGGATGTGATCTGAAATCCTCAAGTATTTGGCTAACAAATCCATGTAATAACTTCACATCTCAGTTTTTTAGATAAAATGGAGGTGCTACATTCTCTCCAAGAAAGAAGAGTTTGCTTGTCTGGGACAGGGGACTGATCTGTTAAAGGTTACTACAATTATTAAGAACCATCCAGGGGCATCCAGAAGACCCACTCACCTTCCTTCTCCCACGTGTTCACATAAGTAAGCATCAGAGACATCACAGGAGATTTTCAAGGTGGCTTCAGTTCTAGGGTTAACTTGCAGCTCAGTTTTTTTCACTCAGAAGCACCCTGCTATCAGACCCCAACTTCTAAACCTACTCAGCTCCACATGGGCACATGGTCCAGGTGGTACCAAGCATGTGGGCAGTATACACATTATTCTGTAAGTCTTCATTACATTTGACTCTTTTTCATTCCTTTTTTCATATATGTCTCAATGCATTAAGAAGCTAAAAGACCTAAACAAACTTTAATTTCTTCACTGACACATTTTTTAAGTTAATGCCCAAGATAACCCATGGACCACACATATATCAAATAAGAAGAGACAAAGCTCAGTTGCCTTTTGTATAAAGAACAGAGCAGAGAGTAGTTACAGAGTAGGGACTATTTATAAACCAAAGGCCTCAGGGTAGTTTCTGTTTGGATAATTCAATTTAGTCCATTCTACCACCAAACAGGTTGAACCATGGACCTATTTACTCAAACTGTCCAAATCTTTTCTCTCATTTCCCTTAATACCCACCTTCCAGAGCAGTAAATCAGACTTTCCACCATGTGAGAATGAAAAGGTCCCTTCCCCACCAGCTTGTTTTAATCCAAAATTATGGCTCATAGGAGCAAAGATCTTTTGAGGTAACTGGTCTTTACCTGATGTTGCATTAAAGGTGCTGAGCATTTTGTGAGTCCCTGTCACAAGGCAAACAGTTTCAGCCAAGCTTCCTGGCTTCAGATCCAAACATGTGATATCTCGGGCCTCCTCAGGGAGGGGAGTAGACCATAGTGTGCTGCCATTCATCCCCGAAAGGCACACAAGATTAGCAGTTGGCCTTGAGACACCTAAAAGTACACAAGAGACATCTTTTCAAAAAGGAGCACTTTTTTATGTGTCTTTTGGCTGCCGGTACATCTTCGTTTGAGAAGTGTCTATTCATGTCTTTTGCCCACTTTTTAATGGGGCTGTTTTTTTTTTTCTTTTGGCACATTTGAGTTCCTTGTAGATCTGAGATGTTAGGCCTTTGTCAGATACACAGTTGGCAAATATTTTCTTCCCATTCTGTGGGCTGTCTCCCTGCTCTCTTACTTTTGCTTTGCAGAAGCTCGTTAGTTTGACGAGGTCCCACTTGTCTATCTTATTTCTGAAGGTATGGGCACTTAGGGTTCTGAATAGGAATTGGCTGCCAGTTTCAATTTCTACAAGGGTGTCTCCTGCATTTTCTACAATTCTTATAGTTTGAGGTTTTACGTTCAGGTTCAGGTCTTTGAAATTGAGGCTAGGCCGGGCTCAGTGGCTCAGCCTGTAATCCCAGCACTTTGGAAGGCCGAGGTGAGTGGATTGTCTGAGCCCGCGGGTTCGAGACCCGCCTGGGCAACTTGGCGAGACCTCATCTCTACAATAAATCAAAAATTAGCCAGGCGTGGTAGCGCGCGCCTGTAGTTCCAGCTCCTTGGAAGGCTGAGGCAGACGGATCGCCGGAGCCCAGCAGGTGGAGGCTGCGGTGGCCGGGAGCGGCCACTGCACTCACGTCTGAGTGACAGAGTGAGACTCGAAAGAAATTGAGGCTTTGCTTCCTGAATCTTCTATCCTGTTTTACTGGTCTATATGCCTGTTCTTGTACCAATACCAGGTTGCTCTGATTACTGTAGCCTTATAGTAAAGGCACAGAAGAGTTAAGAGACAAAGAGAAACAGGAGGCCAGAAAGCCACAAATGGACAGTGGACGGCAGCAGCCCACGCTTGTATATTCAGCCTCTCCCACATTCTAGGCAACAAGGTGTGAACACAGAGTGCCTGTCATCTCTGCTCAGCACCCTGCTCAGGTGAGACAAGAGCTGCAGCCAATGCATCTCCTCCATGTTTGTGCCTTTCCCAACACTTTTGTTTACATGTCTGCTACCTATTCTCCATTAGGAGAAAGACTTCTCACTAATCTCTGCATCCTCAGCGCCTTGCAAAGTCCTAGCACCTCTAGCAACCAACTGTTTGTCTAATAAAAGACAGGAGCAAAATCAAGAATATTAGGAAAGCAATTGATAAGAACAAAAAAATCAGGAGGGAAAGATATAGCTTGGAAATGTGAGAAGATCTAGAATTATACCCAGAGCAGGGAGCAAAATGCCTGAATTCTAATCATAACTAGCAAATGCTCCCTGAGAGCAGAAAAATAACTTTTAAAAATAATAAACCAAGCCGGGCGTGGTAGCGCACGCCTGTAGTTCCGGCAACTTGGAAGGCTAAGGCGGAAGGATCGCCGGAGCCCAGCAGGTCGAGGCTGCGGTGGCCGGGAGCAGCCACTGCACTCCAGTCTGGGCGACAGAGTGAGACTCCAACTCAAAAAAATAATAATAATAATAAACCTGAAGATCGCATGTAGCAAGAATCAGTAGGTCTTGCTCGCCTCACGTTCCATGAAATCAGCTGAGTTGGCCCAAGTCCAGAAAGAAAAGTAAGACTTCATGCCTAGGGCCAACAGTAGCTAGGAAGGAATTATAGTAGCCATCTCTTTAGTAAATAAGCCTGTATGTTGCCTAATTACATATCAGAATAACTTTCTCTTTTGTCACTTTTACATTCACTTTTACCTTAACTTATCTCACACTTTCCACTTCCGGCAACAACTGATACAGATAAGAAAATGGAAGTTTTAGAGTTTCCTCTACCTATTCCTCAGTATTACTTATTAAATATACAACCTAAAAATACGTGACAAACTGTGACTACCATTTCACACCTTGTTGCCAAAAGTAGATACATATGACAAACAGTGGGAACATATGTTAACTTCCAGACTTCTCAGGATGCAGTGACTAACATCCTGTGTAAGGACCTGACTTCAACCACAATGCTCTGACTTGTTTTTTTCCAGGTGGTGATGATTCCCTGAGGCAGATACCACGCTCCTCTTGTTCAGCTGTCTGTACATAACCAGCACAGCTCTAGAGAAGGTGCACAGCACCTGCTGCAGTTGGCATTCAATACATAGTTGTTGAATGAATGGAGGAACAAGAGAACAGACAAAAAACTCAGTGGCACAGAGCTTTGTGGGTTATGGGTACAACAATTGGGCATGAGGGTTAAGGACATGAACTAGAGCCAGACTCCCTGGGTATGAAGCCCAGGCCTACCATTACCAGCACTGAGACTTGGGGCAAGTTGCTTAACCTCATTATGTCTTAGTAGCCTCACCTGCAAAAGGAGATAGTAATAGTTGTCTGCCTCACAGGACTGTGCTGAGGGATAATTTCATTCATTTTCATTATGTGCTTACAATAGTACACAGCACATAGAAAGTACCAAGTGGCCGGGCTCGGTGGCTCAGTCTGTAATCCCAGCACTTTGGGAGGCCGAGGTGAGTGGATTGCCTGAGCCCGCAGGTTCGAGACCTGCCTGGGAAACTTGGCAAGACTTCATCTCTACAATAAATCAAAAATCAGCCGATCATGGTAGCGCGTGCCTGTAATTCCGGCTACTTGGAAGGCTGAGGCAGAAGGATCGCCAAAGCCCAGCAGGTGGAGGCTGCGGTGGCCGGGAGCAGCCACTGCACTCCAGTCTGGGTGACAGAGTGAAACTCCAACTCAAAAAAAAAAAAAGAAAGTACCACGTTAGCTATATCTTTATTTCTACAATCTGTGGCCAAACCAGGCTGGTCCATATTGTGTCCAAACCCTTAGCCTTGCTTTTTACAAGTCTTGATATGAAGCAAACCATGGAAGACAACAAATGACTAAAAGCATCTCTAAATCCAAAAATGGATGGGAGAAATTTTTACTTCAAAAGTCACAGGCAGAAAAAAATGTAATCAAGTTTCAACTGTGTGAAAATCTCCTTCTAGGCTAGAGATTCGCTCTATATCAGAGCTCTGCCCAGAATGCTTCTCCATCTCACACAAGCTCAGAAGACCATTTCTAATAAGATCAAAGAGATGTGCAGTTTAGAATTCTCTAAAACATACCCAGATGTTTATTCTATGGCCTAAATGATTTGAAAAGCAGTCACTAGGGTCCCAGACTGCAGTTTGACTCCACTTAAGTCGACGCTACAGGACAGTGTGCCTGTGCTGAAACTGGAACACATTTTTTTAATGCAGCTGACATGTGTAACAGCCAGGGTCCCAGAAATAGCGCCCTCAATTGGGATCAGTTGTGGGCGGTTCAATGAGGAGACTATTTACAAGGATGTGGCCAGGGTAAAGGAACGCCCGCACAAGGAACAGTTCAGACCCTCAGAACAGTTATGGCTCCCAAGCTCCAAGAGAAAGGGGAGGAAGCAATTACTCAGTCATGTAAGAGGACCATCTTGAGACAAGCTGTGAGCCGTGCTCAAGGATGTAGCTTGAGGGAGCCTCTCCTCACGCTCTTCCTCTCCTCCAATCCCTTGCCTGTGGTCCCCATTGGCCAAGCCCAGCTGGAAGGAGGCCAGCAGACAAGGGCACCTCTTGATATCATCCACACAGGTCAGTCTCCCAACACAGAGAGCAGGATGATGGGGGAAAGGAGAACAGCTAGCCAAGAGGTATGTGAGTACAGATGTGTAAGTCCATGAACAAGTTTTCTGTCGGGGGTGGAAGGGCAGGATAGAATCAATGTTCATTATAATCTAAGAGGCTGCGGAAAACCAACTGGGAAAAAACTCATGCAGCCTGAATGCTGGCACCGTTGACTGTAGGTGTGTGGCCAAATCACTTCCTCTCTACATCTCAGTTTCCTCACTGACCTGGGTGACCCCTAAAGGTTCCTTCTAGCTATAACCTTCTCAGATTTCTTGGGTTGAGCTTTATTTACATTCAGGAACTTTCTGATCAGGCTCATTGTGTATGACAGAAACCTGGTAACTTTCTACTCACTGCAGACCTTCTGCAGTGCCCCTTGGGAGACAACTCTGTTGCCTTCTCCTAGCTCACAGACCCCCTGGAGCAGCCTTGAAAAGACATGTCTCATACCTGTTACACTCCCATTCCTTGACATCACAAAGGAGAGAAGAACATCACGCAGGCCATCTCCATTCACATCAGCCAACTCCAGTGGAGACAGGTCCCCACCTATATACACATAAAAAAAAAAAAAGGTCTTAAGCAAGTTACTGCAAACCAGTTCTCTGCTGCCAACACCTCCATAGACACCAGGCAGACTTCTGGTTCCCCAACAAGGTGAAGTAGACATAGTTCTCCCTATTCCTCCCACTAAGTATGTCTTAAGGCCCTGGACATTACATACAAAACAAGCCTAAGACAACGCTAAAAGATGGAGAGAAGAAGGCAGACCAGCTAAGGACTGCAAGACCCAAGACCCAAGGAGTGACAAGGTAATGACTCCTCTGGGCTTTCTTTTGGCCTTAGATATCCCTAAACAGGGTGCAAGAGAAGCCAACAACCCACAAATGCCTCAGGAGCAGATAAAAAAGCCCCAAGAAAATCTGACTTCTCTAGCCAAGGGCTCAGGAAAGGTGCAGGCTAGCAAGATAATAACTGCTCTACTCCAAGCAAACACACAGGATAAAAATACAGGCCCGGCCACACCCAAATCTCCATAGCCACTGAATGGGCTGTCTACCACTGAAGTCATGTCAGGGAAGGCTGGGGGGCCATGTCTGTCATCCCCACCTAGCAGGGCTAAGGCGGTTCTACCCCTTCCCAGCATGAACAAAGCAGTCCTCCTCCTCCTCCCCGCCCAGGTGGTGTCAGCAGAGACCTAGCAGGGAGCCTGGACTTTCATCCCTGCCTGGCAATATCAAGGCAGCACCTCATTTTCCTCCAACAGTAAAGAGGAGGGGTCTGCCTGACAAATTTGGAGATAACTCACACATTGCTAGTGCAGGTGTAAATTGGTACAACCACTTTGGAAAATAATTTAGCATAAACTACTAAGAATGAACACACACATACCCTATGATCCAGCAATTTTACTCCCAGGTTTATTATGCCTTAGAGAAATTCTTTTTTTTTTTTTTTTTTTGAGTTGGAGTCTCACTCGATTGCCCAGACTGGAGTGCAGTGGCCGCTTCCAGCCACCGCAGCCTCGCCTGCTGGGCTCCGGCGATCCTTCCGCCTCAGCCTTCCAAGTAGCCGGAATTACAGGCATGTACTACCACGCACGATTGATTTTGTTTTATTTATTGTAGAGATGAGGTCTTGCTGCCCAGGCTGGTCTTGAACCCGTGGGCTCAGGAAATCCACTCACCTCAGCCTCCCAAAGGCGTGGGATTACAGGCTGAGCCACTGAGCCTGGCTGAGAAATTCTTATACATTGCACCAGGAAACACGTACAAAAATGTTCTTAGCAGCATCTTTTTTTTTTTTTTTTTAAAGACTGGAAGTGCTAATGAAATGTTCATCAACAGTAAAATAGATAAATAAATCATGGGATATTTATACCATGGAAAATTAGTAGCGAAAGTGATTAACTCCAGCTACAATGTATCAATATGGACCAACCTCAAAAATATTTTCTCAAAAAATTATGTTGAAAGAAAATGCAGGTCACAGAACACTACATGATTCCATTTATATAAAATTCAAAACCAGACAAAATTAATGAATAAATGGTTTAGAAATACATATCAATATGGTAAAACTTTAAAGAAAAGTAAAAAATAAGCCCAGGCATGGTGACTCATGCCTGTAATCCCAGAATTTAGGAAGGCCAAGATAAGACAATTGCTCAAGCTCAGGAGTTCGAGACCAGCCTAGGCAACACAACAAGACCTCATCTCTACAACAAACTCAAAAAATTTGCCAGACTTAGTGGCACGCATTTGTAGTCACAGCTACTTGGGAGGCTAAGGCAGAAGGATCGCCTGAGCCCAGGAAGTCAAGGCTACTACACTCCATCTGGGTGACAGAGTGAAACTCTGACTCAGAAAACACCAAACTGGCCAGGCTTGGTGGTTCAATCTGTAATCCTAGCACTTTGGGAGGCTAAGGCGAGTAGATTGCCTGAGCCTGTGGTTTCCAGACCAGACCAGGCAACGTGGCGAGGCCTTGTCTCTACAATAAATCAAAAATTAGCTGAGCGTGGTAGTGCACACTTATAGTTCTGGCTACTTGGAAGGCTACGGCAGAAGGATCACTGAAGCCCAGCAGGTGGACACTGGTGGCCATGAGAGTGCTACTGCACTCCAGCCTGGGTGACAGAGTGAGACTCTAACTCAAAAAAAAAAAAAACCAAAAAACTAATAAGGTAAAAAATAATAATGATAATCAATACAAACTTCAGGATAGCAGGAGCTTTTGGTGGGCAGAAGAGAATATGGTCAGGAGGGACACACAAGAGACTGCCAAGATCTCAATAATGTTCTGTTTCTTAAGCTGGGTGGTAGACACCCCAACAATTTGTCACTAACCTTTACATTGTATATAAATATCACATGTGTAAATTAGATTTGCCTTCAGAGAAAACAAAGATGAGAACACAGGACTCATCAGAAGCAAATTCAACGGGGATCAGAGAAGTGGCAGAGATAAAGCATTTCTAGATCAAGATGACACAAGCAATATAAGGATAGCCTAACCAGTTCACAAGAGGGGACCCCTCAGCACAGTGGAGATAGAATCCCCATTCCAGAACAAGAGGTTTCAAAGAAACCTACTCCAAAAGGAGACAAAATAGCTGGAATTACTCAGGCAGTACCACCCTAACTGTGAAGAGCAAGAAAAGAAGAGACAACTATTTTTTACGTGAGATGAAATTATGTTAATATGTAAAGTAGGTCAGACCTCTATAAACAAAAAATGCCTGACAGCGGCAGCCCTGTGGTGTCCAGGCCTTGCTTTCCTCTGTACATTGCCCGTTCTGTAGCTCTGCATCCCCTGATACAGTGCTGGCCCCACAGCAGGAATACAGCAAACCAACCCCTACCCTCCCTGTGTCTAATAAAGACCAATGCTGGCAGACACAATCGAACAGTAATTCCCAAGTTTCCGGAGTTGTTTTTTTGTTTGTTTTTGTTTTTGTTTTGAGTTGGAGTCTCACTCCATAGCCCAGGTTGGAACGCAGTGTCACGCTCACGGACACCACAATGTCAATCAGTTGGGCTCCAGAGATCCTTCCGCCTCAGCCTTCCAAGTAGCCAAAACTACAGGTGCACACTAACACACCCAGCTAATTTTTTTTTTTTTTTAATTGTAGCGATAAGGTCTCACTAAGTTGCCCAGGCTGGTCTCGAACCTGTTGGCTCAGGCAATCCGCTCACCTCGGCCTCCCAAAGTACTGGAATTACAGGTTTGAGCAAGTTGTTTTGTTGTTGTTGAGTCAGGGTCTTACTCTGTCGCCCAGGCTGGAAGGCAGTTCCAGAGGCACAATCACAGCTCACCTCAGCCTCAACCTCATGGGCTCAGGCAATCCTTCCACCTCAGACTCCTGAATAGCTGAGATTATAGGAATGTGCCACCTATTTTTTTTTTTTTAGAGATGAGGTCTCACTATGTTGTCCAGGCTAGTCTTGAACTCCTGGGCTCTAGCAGTGGTGTTTGTTTGATTTCAAATTGTAACCTCCTAACCACCTTCACACACAGGTGGAAAAATGGCACAAGACTCGGAGGAAAATGTCAACGTAATCAGATAGAGCACGACATTGTAGAGCATTAGGACTGAAGATGATGCAACTCACCGGCCTGGGAGCCCACGTGGCGACTCCAAGTGCTGTGCAGGTCTCTGGGGGGACAGGGGATCAGGAAAGCACACAGAAGCACCAGGATCATCGAGATGCCCAAAGTCAGCAGAAAGACAGATGTGCGCACATACGACACCAGAGAGGAGGCTGCCTTCTGCTCCAGGCCCCCGAGGGGTTCTGAGGGGAACCCCTCTGAGGTAACTTCTGAAAGATGTGGCTTTGCAGCCCCTGCAACCTCAGCATCTGAGTCAGGCTCCGGTGGCTCTCCCAAAGGACTCTTCCCATTTTTGACCCCTCCATTCTTCTGCTGCAAGTTAATCACAAGGTCATCTTCGCTCTCATCACTGTCAGCCTGGGTGAGGGGGTCGTACTCCCCTAGGTCTGGGCTCTTCTTCCCTGAAAAAAACAGAAAGACAGAGAGTCAAGGATCTGAAAAGAGAAAACCTCACCAAGCACATGATACTGTAAACATCCAGGAGAACACACAGAAAGCAAACACCAAAAAATCTAAGTCTATGCCAGCAAAGGGTGGGAGAAGGAATGGAAGGAAAAAGAAAAGCACAGAGCTCCAGGATTATTGCCTTTATGAGTTTAAGAAAACGGAAAAGGAGATAGAGAAATCAGCAAATTTCAAATGGCTTTAGTCTACATTAGAAAAAAAAAAAAAGCTCTCTTAATTTGCTTGAATCTCGCTAATGAAAAAGACTATGGCTCCAGTATCAACTCTCCACATGTCTAACGTGCATATTGCCTTAGAATTACTTAGATCTGTGACGTCCTAATCTTTCCTGGTAAACTTTTAGAACAATTCTTCTCTGTACACTGCTTCTCTCAGTCCAATACTTGTGGCTTCCCGATTGTTTCTACGGAAACAACTTGGAAAGTTAAATGCTAATGTTCATCTGAAGACGTCATACTGAAATCTCACTTCCGAGAATTGTCCTGTGATTTGAACGCCCTTTTAGTACATCTTTCAGTAAACAGTGTTTACCTCTAAAACTGCTACTCTGAGCAAGTATTCTGGAGGAGTGGCAGTTCAGCAGGAATGCAGAGGTAGAAGACTTGTCTTGAAGCTGCTGGGCACGGCAAGTACCCTGTTTTTACCTAGACCACAGTGTTGGTCTGGGATAGCTGAGAGGTAGAAATTGCAGAAGGACTCAGACACACCTCCTCCCATGCCACCTCTTGGCCCTCACTGCCAATGACTGAATGATTTTATTTCCTGCTATAAACAAGTAAAAACCGAGGAAAAGTTTCTTGTTTTGGGGGGTGGGGGGATTTTCTGGTAAGCTGTGACTAGTGTAAACTCTATTGTTAAAGCTTTTGTTCAGAAGAAATGTTAAAAAGAAAACATAACCCAGCTTATTAAAAAGCGAAAAAGGGCCAGGCTCGGTGGCTCAGCCTGTAATCCCTGCACTTTGAGAGGCCAAAGTGAGTAGATTGCCTGAGTCCGCAAGTTCAAGACCAGCCCAGGCAACTTGGCGAGATCTTGTCTCTACAATAAATAAAAAATTAGCCAGGCATGGCAGTGCACACCTGTAGTTCTGGCTACTTGGAAGGCAGGCTGAGGCAGAAGGACCGCCAGAGCCCAGCAGGTCAAGGCTATGGTGGCCATGAGACACTGCACTGCAGCCTAGGTAACAGAGTGAGACTCCAACCCAAAAAAAAAAAGCAAAAAAGAGGGCCAGATGCGGTGGCTCACACCTATAATCCCAGCACTTTGGGAGGCCAAGGTGAGAGGATTGCCAACTTGGCCTGACCTTATCTCTACAATAAATAAAAAAAAGAAAAAGTAACTGGGTATAGTGGCATGCACCTGTAGTTCCAGTTACTTGGAAGGCTGAGATGGAAGGATCACCTGAGCCTAGCACGTTAAGGCTGTGGAGGCCATGAGCATGCCACTGCACTCCAGCCTGGGCAACAGAGTGAGACTACAACTCAAAAGAAAAAAGCAAAAAAGAGGAATTTTTTAACACTAATCTCTGCCTCTGGGTCACTGTGGCCTTGGTGCTGTCATTTTGTACATTACATCTTGGTTTGTTCAATTCATGAAATGACACCATAAAGCAGTATATGGAAACCAGATACAGGAAGCAAATTATTTAGGGTAAAGTTTATTATCTGGTATATTAAAAACCAATAAACATTGATTTTTTAAAAAACAACACTGCACAGAATTATTTTATAACATTAAGTACTTTTCTTTTTTTTTTTTTTTTTTTGAGTGGTAGTCTCACTCTGTTGCCCAGACTGGAGTGCAGTAGCTGCTCCAGGCCACCACAGCCTCGACCTGCTGGGCTCCAGCAATCCTTCCGCCTCAGCCTTCCAAGTAGCTGGAACTATAGGCATGCGCTACCACGTCTGGCTAATTTTTTGATTTATTGTAGAGATGAGGTCTTGCCAAGTTGCCCAGGCGGGTCTCAAACCCGCAGGCTCAGGCAATCCACTCACCTTGGCCTCCCAAAGCACGGGATTACAGGCTGAGCCACTGAACCCGGCCATTAAGTGCTTTTCAAAAATAAACACAGAAGATACTGAATAATCTAGTACTCTAATAACTAGAAATTTCTATATTTTCATTTTCAAAGCTATTCACTTTGTCCAATAAATACTGGATTTGATTTTTAAGGGTATAAATTACAAGAAAATAAACAATTTATTGGGAACTTAATTCAAAATAGTACTTCTAAACTATGCCACAGGATCAGGACAGGTTCAGGCTAATCTCCTACAATTTATATTTCTACTCTACAAATCAAATTATTTTATTAATTAGGGCACACCATTTCCTAACCATCCCAGGTAACTCTTTATATAATAATTTGCAAACAGAGTCATGGGGTGTTACAATAATATTAACTCTAATTTTTTAAAGTTTCTTTTTTTTTTAACTAAAATACATCTGACATGATAAACAAAATGTGATATACACATACCATGGAATATTATTCAGCCCTAAAAAGGAATGATTCTGACATACGATACAACATGGATGAACCTTGAGGATTATGCTAATTGAAATAAACCAGTCACCAAAGGACAAAGATTGTATGATTACACTTATATGAGTTAACTAGAGTAGTCAAATTCACAGAAACAGACAGTAGAATGGTACTTGGAGGTAGAAGAATGAGGAGTTGTTACTTAAGTACAGAGTTTCAGTTTTGCAGGATTATAAAGTTCTAAAGATTGGTTGCACAACAATGTGAATATACTTAATACTGAACTGTGCACTTAAAAATGGTTAAGAGAAGCTGGGCTCAGTGGCTCAGCCTGTAATCCCAGTGCTTTGGGAGGCCGAGGTGAGTGTACTACCTGAGCCCGCAGGTTCGAGACCTGCCTGGGCAACTTGGTGAGACCTCATCTCTACAATAAGTCAAAAATAACCGGGCGTGGTAGTGCGCGCCTGTAGTTCTAGCTACTTGGAAGACTGAGGTGGAAGGATCGCTGGAGCCCAGCAGGTCGAGGCTGCGGTGGCCGGGAGTGGCCACTGCACTCCAGTCTGGGCAACAGAGTGAGACTCCAACTCAAAAAAAAAAAAAAAAAGGTTAGGAGGAAAAAGAGGTTAAGACAGTAAATTTTATGATACATATATTTTACAATTAAAATAATCTTAATATACCCAACAGAGGAAAACATATACAGAATCTCCAAATCTCAGAATTTGAAGAGACTTTAAAGATCACATAATCCACCCCATCCCATTCCAAATTTACAACTTCTTACAAACACCCACCAACCAGTCACTTAGCACACACTTGAGCGTAACCAATGCTAAGAAATCTACTCGCTCCAATCTAGAAAACAATTATTTACCCTGATTCAAGAATCTATTTCTGGGCAGTTACCAACTATCTATCCTAGTTTTAATTTCTAGGCCCCCACTTCCACATGCAAGCCCTTCAAATGCTTGAAGGTATCAATATAGCAAACATATAGCATGCTATGTAAGAACTCAGGTCTTTACAATCAGATAAACATCAGGTCAAATCCCAGTTCTATCTCTAATTAACTGTGGGACCTCAATTTCTTAATTTTGTTGTGCTTCTCTATTTATGAAATGGAATAATTCTTAAAAAGTCATATGACTTTTATGAGGATTAAATAAGATAATATATGTACTGTTCTTAGCGCCTGGCTTAAGGTCACACTTAATCAACTTTAGCTTCTATTACTATCATGACCATCACTATTGTTGGCATTTGATCTCCCAACTGCCTTCCCCAGTCCTCCCACCTCCAGGTTAAACACCTTCACCTCTTTCAGCCCATTCTTTGAAAAAGCATTGTTTCAAGTATCCTCTACATCCTGGTCACCCTCCTCTGGACACAATGTGATATGTCAGTGATTTTTAAATTATGATTCCTGGAACTGGATACACAATCCCTGGTTGCAGTCTGCAGAACTGTATTTGACCTAAGCTGAATAGCAAACTATAATTCAATTTCTGTAACCTAAGATCTTTTTTTTTTTTTTTTGAGTTGGAGTCTCACTCTGTCGCCCAGACTGGAGTACAGTG